ATGGAGTCTACTATATAGTATATATGGAGTCTACTATATAGTATATATGGAGTCTACTATATAGTATATATGGAGTGTACTATATAGTATATATGGAGTCTACTGTATAGTATATATTCTAGTCTACAATTGAGTATACAACATATACTCTATAGTTATCAATATACCAGAGTACAGATTGTCTATATCCTTGTCTACAGTTGTGTCTATATATCAATATAAATAGTTCATATACTTGCCAAGAACTGACCCTATTAAGGTTACCTCTATCAGCTATATCTACTAATATGATTGCGTATATATGAGACGATCTCTTTCTCTTGTATTCCTATCTCATATATAAACTCCTGTCGTATAAGAATTTACATTATATATATATTTCATTTTTCTATAATTTAGTATTATCATCATCATCATATCATTTATATCAATACAACTCATAGATATGTATTTATATATGAATGTAGATATGGATATGTATAGATGGCTACTATCCCTATATGATATGTCTGTCCCCATCATTTCAGTTTGCTTTATACTGTATCCATCTCCATGGATCTCCTAACCAATTCATCACAATATATTAAATTAATTAAATTGTTATTATCATCATTGGTTTTCAAGGTCTGATTAGAACTGTTCCGATGTAGACTTATGATAATCTGCTTGTACAGTGGCACATAAGCGTAGTCCTACATTCAGAGAGAAATTCATATGGTTTCTTATCTGTAGGCAGCTAATCATTGCTGTATAATTTGTATGAGCTTATCATTATCATCATCATCGTTCGACTTTTGCATTAGAAATGTTTGAAGTGTTTTTTTTTCTATTGTTGTTGTTGAGTTGTTGTCCAAAACATTGACTCATTCGATTCACAGTCGTTTCCATTGATTATGCAAATACATTAACATATATACGTGTATGTTTATGTGTATTTGTCTGTCCGGTTCTCTTCTTTTTTTTTAGCGCAAAACAGCAAAAGTCAAACAAAAATCGCTAAGCCGCAAATGCTCTAAATCAGCTTTAGATTTATATTTATTGACCAACAACAAACACGCCTCGAACGCCCCTTTCTGGTCCTAGCTGTTCAAAAGGGTGCGACTTTGTCGTGTGTGTGTGTGCGTTTGTGTACTACTAGATTTTTTTTTTTATTATTTGTAAACATTTGTGCAATATTTTCCAATCCAATTTACAACTAGTCGCGGTGAGCACTTGCGTGAAATTAACGTGATATTTGGATGTTCGACAAAAAGCAAGCTATATACACATACATATATAACTTAGAACTTACATATATACATACATTCTTATACGTATATATTTCGAGTTATACCTAAACTGAATATATAGTATACACTACAAATGTACAATTTTGGTATGGGCTGTTTGCCGGTCAGGCCAGTTTTAGATTTAGCAGCTCGCATAAATCATAATATAATATATATACCTATATATTTAATATGAGTTTTGCTGAATATTTTGAGCAATGCATTTATAGAAAGCAGAATTCCTATATTATAACTGGTATATATATGATGTTTAACGATCTAGCTATATTTTCATAACAGAGTCGGCTGCTGGGGATCTAGGTTCCTCTACATATACCATATTATACTGCAATCATTCTGATTCTGTCTTAGATCGTAGATATTGAATGTTAGTAGAAATCTTGATATCTAAATTATATCATAGATATCTTCATCATAGAT